CATCATCTTCATATTTGGTTCCCTTGACAATTACTCCTCTTCCACCACAATTAAGATAGAGAGAATAACTTTCTGAAACAAAAAAATGATGGCTCACTAACTATTCAAGAAGAATAAAGAGCAAATGAAATCTCAAGTAATTGGTTAAGTACTGCTAAACTTTATGGGTTTAAGATTTTGAAGGATGATTGAGGAACTTTCCTAGGAAGAAAGGAAGAATGTTCCAAAGAATGAAGTATATGCAAAACCATACTAAAATACTGCAATTAACTCTTTTATCATCTGTTCAAAAAAAAAAAACTCTTTTATCATAAGCTAAGTAAGAAAAGCCCTCTCAATTACTTTCCTCATAAACCCCTTTTTTATTTAGATTCTCATAGAAAGATTGCAACTTTTTGCCTCAAAATGAGAAACAAAATCCCAGAGCTATCATCAAAACCAAACATTATATATTATTTGAACTTACTTTTTTGACATTGAGAGTCAATTCCCAAGCATGAAATGTCACCTGTGATACTATACGATACAAGGTCCAGAAAATGTCAGGATAATGATAGCAAAAGTGAATCGGCACAATGAAATCTTTAGAAACCATATTCTTCGAGAATGGAGTTAAAACTTACGAATTATTGCCCCCTGACAGGCTTGCAAACAAATTCCTGTAGGAAACAGGACCAGTGGTAAACACCACTTTGCATAACAAAGTTTTTCTTCTGTAATAGCTAGGTACACTAAGTTCCTATTGATAAAAAATAAACAAACTTAAATGATGAGATTCTTACACATTCTGTTGACAACTTGTTGTCCCTGGGCTTCCGGCTGTGAAGTTGTTATATGAAAGATCACTAAAGAGAAAAAGAAATTACTGTTTAGTGATAATTCATCAGATCATCTAGTTTCTCTAAGCTATACATGAAGACAGTTTGATTTTGATAAATGTATAAACTTGTAAATTCATATATGGTTTTCCTTTTAAATTGTACAGCAAACAGAATAAGTTGATATCGATTCACATAATCTAGTAAACTTAAAGAGCTGAAGTCAAGAAAATAGAGTGCACGAAAAAGGAAATATTTGTGCAGGTTACTTTTTGAGTATGAACTAATTAACAAAGCACTAGGTATGGATATTTCAATATCAAATTCTTAATAGAAATCCAAAAGATTTGTCAAAAAACTTCCTTAGAATAAAAGTACTTCAATGAACAATTGAAAACAAAATCTTACATATTGCCTCCTTTTTTCAGTAGCCAAGAAGGAATTGTCCCATTAAGCAAATTTCCTGTTAAATACCTAAAATGTGCGAAACAAAAAAATGCTTTCATAATTACATGTTTGATATAAATAAGTCATCAGGAAATATAGAAGATATACCAGTGATGTTGCACGGTCTAAGCATGATGAAACAAAAGAGCTGAAGTTTATGGCAAAAAAAAATTAATTTTAATCACTCAAAGACGTGATTACATGTATTCAATTTTTGTAAGAGCAGAATAGCTGCTTGGTATTTCTCCACTGAGTTTGTTGAAGCTAAGATCTCTGCAAGAGAATTCATATCAAGGAGATTAAATTAAAAAGTAGTTATATCGATCATGTCTAGAATGATACAAGAAACCAATTGTGCCCTTACAAAGTCTTCAAAGATGTCATTTGCCCCAAATAATCAGGTAGCTTTCCGACGATATTGCAGCTCCTCAGTATCCTATAATTAGGGCAACCCAAAGAATCTATTAATCATTTATGTCACAGAAATGCCCTTGATTAGTTAATGAGAAATGCCTGAGTGTAAAATTATACTCACAGTATCTTCATATTTTGAATACTACTAAGTTGTGGAAAATCTGCTTGCTCACTTCCATTTAAATCACTAATTCTCCTGTATATCAACAATATTCAACAGAGTGTAAACAAAAAAATACAATCAAAATATCCGCAATTTGCAGATTCAGAAAATATAAAATCTAGAATCTATACTTACAAGTCAGTTAAATTCACTAAAGCACTTATGCTAGTAGGAATTGGCCCCATCAAGCCGCTTGCCTGAATAAATCTGTTAAGATCAGATGTTTACTTTAGTTAATTAAGAGGAAAAAGAGATAAACACTGATTCAAATGACTTTATTACAGTCCAAATGTGTAACACATAGAACCCTCACAATCTTTCAAGATTTGTCCAATTTTGGATGAAACTGGGTATATTTCCCGTGAAGCGATTGTCACCGATCCGACTGCATTATGTTGAAAATAGACAAATATCACAAACTAACCCATTTAATAAACTAAACCTTGAAAATTAACAAAATCAGAAGATTACAAGTCCTTCAATGAGGTTAGCCTAGCAAATGTTGCAGGCAGTTCTCCACTAAAGTTGTTGGAAGTAAGAAGACTGCAATATTGGCAACAACAATGTCAAATCCAGAGACATTTTTCAGTTAGACATTAAATCAAACACAAGAGAAACAAACTAACAGTCTCTTAATGCTAGTTAGGTTCCCAAGCTCCGGTGGCAAAGCTCCTGACAGTTGATTAAACTCAACAACCCTACACATTTTCACAGATGCATAAGAATCAGTTCATCACATAAACATAAATAAACTACGAAAACAACAAAAATTCATTGTCAAAAGAACTCACAAGTCGGTGAGAGTGCTTATGTTTCCTATCTCTTTGGGGATCGGACCCGTTAAGCGATTTCCAAGAAGAGAGCTGCAGCATTAATAACATCCAAATACTGCTCTCAATATATAAACAACAGAGCATCGTATTAAGGCAGCCATGAACAAACATACATGCTCAAGGGCAACATATATGAGCTATACTATACAATAGGCTATGTCTCTCCTCTTCCCAAACCCACCCTAGCTACCCATCCCATGAATTGAGCTTCAGACGTCCATCATAAATGTTTAAGCTCTTAATTAACCAATGGAGTGTTGGGTTTTATATGGTCTCTTTGTCATAAAATAATTGTAATTTTTTTTAAATTAAAAATTTAGAGACATATTTATATTTATTAATGATATTTAAAAAAAAAATAAAAGACCAAAAATGATTTTTTGTGATTACATAATTAATTAAAATAAATATATAATGATAGAGTTAAAAGTAAAAAAATTTCACTTACTATAAAAAAATATAATTAATTTGAGATAAATTTAAAATTAAAAATAACAATTATTTTGAAATAAATGGAGTATAAATCAATATAAGCATTACTGTCAAGCAGACTTCAATATGATATTTTAAATAAGAATTTTTTTTTATACAAAAACTTTCTCTTGTTATTCTTGTAAATTCCAAAATATTTATATTTTTTTTAAGTCTAAACGTGATTTAGACTTGCTTATCATCCTTTTACACTAAGTAAATAATTCTCTAGTGGATAATGTAACATATATGATTATATGTGTGTTATGTGATTATATGAAGAACTTTAAACCAATTTGTAAATATTTGAACATGAGAAACCATACATGTTGACAAGCTGCATGGAACCCCATTCTG